ACTTTCATATTGATTTAGGAAATGGTGACACTGAACTGCACTCCACATGGCAAAGGCGGCGGGACTCGAGCCCCTGCATGAGGGGCCATGGCTCTGGGGTTGCTGCTGCCCCCCCACTGCGGGCTGCCCCACAGTCACCCTTTGTCTCTCCTCACCGACTTGGGATTTCAGCCCTGGCCTGGCACAGAGGGAGTGTGTTGTTTCTGGACATAAGCCAATAATCTCTTCCTCTCCAAAATATTCCTGAAGCCTCCTCCACCCCACTGGGGGCCCGTTTCTCTGAACCCCTGTAGCACTTTCTTTTTAAAGGAATTTAACTGTAAATACCATGGGATGCCTGTGGGTGCAGACACTAGCAGAAACAAACAAAAAAGTAGCTACTGTTGGTTGAGTTCTTATTTTATGCCACTCGTTACCTGTACTATTTTGCAGTCCTGCCGATTCCTCAAGTCGACTTTTCAAGTGGTTTTTATTATCTCCAATTCACAGATAGGCCAATGGAGACTGAAGGAAGGTAAGAAAGCTCCAGGTTACAGAGCTGCTAAGTAGGACAAGTAGGATAAAAACCCAGGACTTTCTGGGTCCAAAGCCTGTGGTTTTAACTGCTGCATTATGTTGACTCCATTGTTCTGAGCATGAAATGTCTAATTATTGCAATATACCCTGCTGGGAATGCACAGACTAGGAACCAAACCAGGTCTTTGGGAAACTGAAGCCAGGCTGTGCTTTGATGTCACTGTCTCTAGTCCTCAAGACCAGAGAAGCTGCCATCCCACAGCCATGTGCGAGTGGCTCACCAGAGGGTCAGGAGTAATAATGCCATGATCAAGCTTACTGGGAGCCAGCTAGAGCTAAAACATTGGGGGTGAAGGCTGTCCCAAGTTGAAAACTAGATTATTTGCTCGGTAGCGGGTAAAGGTACCAGTTTAGACACAAGTTCTTCCATTGGAAAGGGCAGTTCTCATATTGTACAAATTTAATTCTCTGTGTCTGTGTGTAAGGCAGTGCAGTGTAGCATTAGTGCTAAGAGCAAAGCCTCAGAAGAAAAAATCTCTGAGTTCAAATCCTGACCTGTGATGCAACTTGAGTGATCTTGGGTAAGTCACTTCGCCTCTCTGAGTGTCTGTCTTTTGCACCTGCACAATGGGGATCATGCTGGTACCTCCCACATAGAGCTGCTGTATCTGGAGGTACATACGACACCTGATCTAGAGTGAGTACTGCAAAAGAAAAAGTTCAGAACTCTCTCAGTGTGAACCAAGGCACAATCGTGTCTACATCCCAATCACAGTCAGCCTCAATCAGCCCCAATCTGAAAGTCACCAGAACTTTAAAAACCATTCAAACCACTTCCGTGCAATTTCATAGCAGCTCTGAAACTGTTTAGCCACACCAGGCTGGGCGGTAAGTGAGAAGAGGAAGCCTGTTTGTGTTTACAGCCTTTGACAAATGGGCTCTCATCTGCTCCTGGCAGATTCTCCCCCTGACTGATCCGTCAGCCTCTCCTCTCATCACCTGAATCGCAGTCTTCATAATAGTATTGAAATTCAGATGGATTCTACACCACAAACAAAAATGAATTTAAATGCCTCTGCTCCCCACCAGAAACACAGGTCCTGTAAATGTCAAATTCATGTGGTTTTGCAAGGCCTTACAGCCATTCTGAATGATGGGTTACCTCCTGTTGCCTCTGCTAAATCTGCATTAGCTCTGGGCATTCACTTGCACAAGGAAACTATCCGTGCTTCTACTTCCCACTGAAGGGTGTAAAACATGACCAGCCACTCAGATCTCCCTGTGACATCCTCTAAGTGCTGCCCAGGAGTGGCCAGCAAGCCATCTAAGCACAGCTCCTCTCCAGGGGCTCTACTAACCAGTGGTCTTGGAAGCAAAAGATGCATGTATGACAAAGCCACACTCTAGTTGTACCATGAGTTTCTCCATAAACAACCAGGAGAGGTTCTCCAGACACAATTAGCTTTCTGCCTGCCAGTGGAAAACGGGCATCTAGGATAATGGAAAACAGAGAAATACGAAGGAAAGTTCTCTTATTCTGTCAACAGTCTCAGAACAAACCCAGACTGTGTGCTGACCAAGAAGAGCGATTTTCCTTATCAAGACGAGGGCTCTCTTCAACTCTTGTAATTCACTGTTCACCCTCCATCATTATATCTGATCTAGATTCAAGGGGAAAATGATTAATCTCCAGGTAAATGGCCCCACCCATGGGATAAGGTGTGCTGTTGGAAGGGGCCGGCAGAGAGACTGTATTAGACTTGACAGAAAACTTGAGACCCTGTGTTTTCTAAAGTTCTTTTATCAAGAGGATACTCAACAGTTAGACAGACAAAAGTATAACTGTGAACACACATGTATATCCATAGGTAGACAGGAAGGAAGGTGAAAGAAATATTAAAAACCAGGAAAAAGAAAGTTTTTCTCAGGAAGCCACCAAGTCCTAGAGACATCATGATAAGCTTCCTTAACTAAAGGAAATGGAGCTTTGAGGAAAACATGCTGGTTTTCCTTCAGAGCACTCAGCATTCATGAAAACTCACCCGGGACCAAGGGGCAGCCTCTTCAGAGGCAGGTTGACTTATTATTTTGGCACCTCTGTCATCTCTTGTCACTTCAATTCCACTTTATCAAATTACTGATTTTGCCAGAAGCACTCGGATTAAACGGAAAAGGACACACACACTTGCAGGAGCAAGTGCCATCACTTCAACAGTGAAGTTTCGTGATTATACGCCAGGGTGACAGAAGTCCCAGAACGCTTTCGGAGGACTAGGTGAGGATGGCTCCAGCTGCCACAGCTGCTGTCGCATCACTGTAGGGGTGGGGGTGGGGGCTGGGGGTGGGTGGGAACGTGCACCTCCTAGGCCATTCGGTTTTGCATGTTGACTTTTTCATTAGGAGATGGGACCCTGATATACAAACTACCTCCAACAAACACCTCACTTCCACTTCCAACCACACGAGGAGACCCAGAGACACAATAGTGCAAATGTACACACCACAAAAATAAAGAAATCAGAAAAGAATTTAGACAGGAAGAAAAGTTGTTGAACAGAAGAAATGAAAAGTCCTTAGGGAGTAAGTCAGTGGAAACAGAAGTAGATATTCTAGTAAGTGTATCTCTAGGAGTCATCACCATTAAATGTAGCCAAAGGTTGGGTTAATTCATATATCATTGTCATGCGAGGTCAAGTTTAGAAAACAGAAGGATGCTTTAGAAATGAGTCTTTCTTTGAAGTGTCTGACTCAACCCACCAGTCCATGACAAAGCATAGAAATGTGTGTGTGGCATGTAAGTGTGTGTGTCTCTCTTTTTTTTTTGGTAACAGCAGAAGCCATGTGCAGAATGATCAATATGCCCTCTCCCCACCAGTGGGCACCAGAGTGGCCACAGGCCTGAGGCATCATTACCATCGTGACATGTGAACCAAAGGCGGTTTGGGGAGGTAGACTGAGCTGTGTGGCTGGCTTTCATCACCTAGAGCTTATCTGGGTTGCTCATTTACCTTGTTGGTGGCAGAACTGATGCTGTTTTAACAGCATCAGTTCTCCTGGCTCTTTCCAAACACTAGTCACAAAGAAAATAAAAAAGAAAGAAAAATTATGGGGCAGAAACATGCCTGTGAATTCCATAAAAACCCAAGAGAAGTAGAAATGTCCTGAATGGGGAAAGGAGGACAGAGAACGGGCGTTCGCCGTGACGTGAGCAGAGTGGCTGAGGCAGGTCACTGATGGCAGAGCTCGTGGGAACAAATGAAAAAAAATCCATGCACACACATTCAGCCGGCGTGGCAGCTCCATCTGCCCAACTCACAAAGTGCATGCACGCGCGTCTACCAGCCTGTAAACACGCTGTGAGTGCAACTCTGGATGGAGACACGTTTGCTGCAACCCAGGGCGACACATAACTCCAACTGAGAGACGATCACGCAGACTGAACTTAAGCTGCCATATCATTGTTCTTTTCCATGTGAGGAGATTAACACTCTTTAAAAGAATGCCTGGTGATTGCCTTTTATTGAAAAGCAAAAATTTGTTTTGGGAAGTTTCCTTCCACCTTATTCATTGGCAGGTGTCCGAGCTATCACAAAGTCAGGGCTGAAAATCTCCGCTTGAAATAATAATGGCATTAGACAATAATGGTATTGTTGCAGAGAGAAACATCTTTCAAAATTGTGGAATGATGTCAAAAGTAGCCAGGAGATACACACCCTCAATTCATTTATTTGACCTCTTTGGATTCAAGGCATTAAAAATAAAATTTGATCTGTTCGGATGTTCCTGGCCATAGAAACTTGTGTGAACTCTTGTCAATAGAGAGAGACCGTGAGGATATTGAAGTGAAGAACCTTTGTCTAAGAATGGCTTTTCCTGAGGGGATCCACACCAAGTGTAACAAGAAGATAAATGGGGTGAGGGGAACTCTGTAGGAAACCCCTTCCCCTTGTTGCCTCCAAAACATCTCATGTAAGTAGATTTACATCACTGACAGTTGCTGCCCCTGTGAATGTGTCATGGTGGAAAGTGAGGCAGAGCCTTTCAACCCAAAGTCATAGATCAAACACAGGGACGTGCTCTGGAAACCCCAGGGTTATACATCTTATGTATTCTATTTAATATTATTAAGTATGTGACATGTGACGGTATATGGAAGCATCAACAATATTCAACTAAAATGGAAAATGAGTTAAAGGACAAATGGTCTGTTTTCCTGAAGAGAAGGAGATGACTAAAATAAAAATCAGCACCAGTTCTTAAAGTAAATTATATTACTCATTCTGCACTGAAGTCATCAGAAATAACACAGGTTGCAAGGCGCAGGACGATGAGCAATTTGAAGTACGATTGTCCTCACATGTGCGACATCAGCACCGCGTCACCTTCGCCAGCCGCCGTCCAGCAAGGTGTGCCTTGAACACTCGGTCCGAATCACTGAGTTCGTGTTTTGTTAGAAACCAAAACAATGAAAAATATTGACTTACCTTTCTGTCCTCTATTTCCACGCAGGTATTACAGTCTGCTTTGATATCCTGAGAGGAGGAGAAAAGAGAGAGAGAGAGAGAAAGGACAAGAGTCAGACTCATGGTCAGGGAACACTCAGCAGCGTCGTTGAGATGCCCTTTAAAATAATAATGAGTTTACCCTCCTAGTAGGGTTTCTCGAGCCATTGCTCTTTATAGCGCTTTTTAGAAGTACATGCCTTGGTGTTTGCATTAGAGACATATGGATGTCATAACAAAGCTTCATTACATGCAGATGTGGGGAAAAAGCAAAAGCTATGGATCAGAGGCCACAACAAAGAAAAGCTGATGGTTCATGTCATAATATGCTCCCCAGACACTTTCGTTCACATCAGCAAAGACTGCCCTCAATCGGACCTGCTGTCTCTTTCCCATTCCCCACTCAGGTTGGTCAAATCATCCTCCCTTCAACACACAACCATCACCATCTATTTTTTATCTTTCTCTCTATCCACCCATCCATTCACCATCCACCCATGAGCCCATCCATCTGCCCTTATTTATTGCACACCTACTTTTTAATGCATTTTTCCCTTGCTACTCTTGAATGTAATGGTGAAGAAAAAACATGGTTTCTACCCTCAAGGAACTCACTAGTTTGACGGAATGGTAGACACACTCACGAGCAACTGTGGTATTCATTTATTCATTCAGTAAATATGCATTCAGTACCTATTGCTTACCAAGCCTTGCTCTAGGCACAGGGGACCCAATAACATACCAAACACAGAGAGGGCCCTTTCTGACACTCTGTTAGAAAAGCATACAGAAAGAAGAATGTCAATACATGTTTGCTATGTCAGAAGAAGATACGTATTATGAGGAAAATAAAGCAGGGAGAAGAGGATGGGGAATGCTGAGAGTAGGAGAATAATATTTTAAGTTATAAGCAGAAGCACAAACTGAGTAAAGGCATGGTGAAGAAAGCTGGGGATGGGCCGTGGGGCCCCCTGGGGCCACCATCTCGAGGCAAACGAGTGGGACACGGTCGGGCTGGAGGAAGAGGGAGGAGGCCATGCCGCAGGAGGGAAGGAAATCAGGACAACAGCAGGAGATATGAGAACAGTGCGGAACCACTCGGAATTCCTTTTTTCGTGTTTGAATAAAATACACACAACATTCACTCTTTAACCATCTCTCAGTGCACAGTGCAGCGGCATTGGGCACAGTCACACTGCCGTACAACCATCACCAAGATCCATCTCCACAGTTTTTCATCTTCTCAGGCAAGAACTCGACCCCATTGGACAGCAAGTCCCCATCCTGCCTCCCCACAGCCCCTGGAAACCACGTCTTCCTTTCTGTTTCTGTGAGTTCGACTGCCTGTGCCAGGCTGCTAGGGCTGCCCTATCAAAATTCCACAGACCGAGTGGCTTGAACAACAGAAATGTATTTTCTCACGATACTGGAGGCGAGACGTTCAGGTGCAAAGTGCCATTACGAGTGTTTTTTGGTGAAACCTCCTCTCCAGGCTTGCAGGCAGCACCTTCCTACTGCACTTCTCCTCCTCTGTCTGCACTGAGAGAGAGAGAGATCGGGTGCCTCCTCCTCTTTTGTAAGGACTTATCAGATCAGCACCCACCCCCCGCCTTGTGACTTATTCACCCTTAATTACCTTCTTAAAAGCACTATATCCAAATACCGTCACATTGGAGGTTAAGGGCTTCAACTGAAGAGTAGGGGGTTCAGTGCCTAATTCAGTCTATAACACTCATATAAGAGGAAGGATGTAATATTAGCTCTTCCGTGTCTGGCTTACTTCATTTAGCATAATGTGTTCATCCAAGGTTTATCCATGTAGTAATGTGTATCAGAATTTCATTCCTGACATAGTTCCAACCATCCATCGAAGGACACTGTGTAGTTTCTACCTTTCAGCTACTGTGAATAATGCTGCTGTGAACACAGGTGTGCATATATCTGCTCAAGTCCCTGTTTGCAAATCTTTTGCGTATGTGCCCAGATGAGGGGTAGAGTTGCTGGATCACAAGCTGCGTCTGTTAGAAGCTGTCCTGCTGTTTTCCACAGTGGCTGCCCCCTTTTCCCACCAGCAGTGCACAAGGGTTCCCCTTACTCCACCACATGCTCATGAGAACTGGCTGTTTTCACTCAGAGGTTTTGAAGAGGGGACAGACTGATCTGGCTGCAGTTTTAACAGACTAGACCGTTGAGAACCAGGAGTGCAAGTGAGGAGAGACCAGCTCAGGCATTGAGGTTTCAGATGATGGTGGCTGTGAAGTGGCAGGGTGGTCAGGGGGTCAGAGTCTGGACAGAGTCACCAGGTGTTGTGACAGGTGGATGAGGACTGTGAGGATAAGATGAAGGTCAGGGACCATTCCTAGGTTTCTGGCCTGAGCTTGCAAGCCTTCCAGAGGCAGGGACTCTGGGTGTGGCAAGGTGGTACTGGGGTCTGCAAACCACAGTGGCTCAATCTGGAGTAAGTTAAGCCTAGTCTCTCACCAAGCAGTAGTTGGCTTTATTCTGCTGATGTGTCATTGGAATAGGTTGATAAAAGTGGAAGGCCATCGCCATAGTGATTTATCAAATGCAGCAAATTCTAGATATGTGTGAATCAAGAGCAGAACAAAATGGAGCCATTTCATAAGGCGAAGGTTTTGTTTTCTTTGTAAGAGCCTTTGAGATTGGCAGAGGGGACCAAGGCTGTGGGTAGGGGTTGAATGCCCCTGGGGAGCCGGGAGAGGTGCAAGGTGTGGGTACTGGCCTCCAAACTCCCCACGACCAGACAAGGAGTCAAGGTTGGCAGTGTTAGTTTTTACTGCATGAAAATTGAGATGAGTGATCGTATAATTCACCCCAGAGCCTAAGTCTATACCTAGGAGGGGCTCCTAACATTGGCACTTTGCATTCTTCTCGGGCAATTTTATTTATTTTATTCAAGGTGGCTGGTCAGTCTGGGCAGTGCAGGCCCAGTGTCTCACTGCTTCCCCTGCTGTGGGGAGGGTGGGCTGCCTACAGCAAAGTCATCCAGGGAAGAGGTACGGCCCTGGTTCTCCAAGGGCACACCTCAGACCCACAGGACAGCGATGCCTGGGAACTCATTAAACATGCGGATTTTCAGGCTCCACCCCAGACCTAGCAAATCAGAAACTCTGGGCCAGGGTCCAGAAGTCTGCAATGTTAGCAAGCCCCCCAGGGGCTTCTGCTGTGGGCTTGGGGCTGAGATGCTACAGGCCAGTGGATGGCTAGTGAGCAATCCCCACCCTGGTGTCAGATTCCAGCCCCTGAAGTGTGACTTCACCTGCTAATAGCTGTGCAGCCTTAAGCAAATCTCTACCTTTCAAAACCCCAGTTTCCTCATCTGTTACACAGGGGTAATGTGCAGAACTTGCTATTCGAAGTGGGGTCTACACCCCAGCAAGTACGCTCTTATCGGGGAGCTTGTTCAAACGCAATGTCTCAGGCTACATGCCAGATATCCTGAATCAGAATCCACATTTTCACAGGTGTGTGGGCTGCATATTTGTGTCCCCCTGCAAAGAAACAGGTTGAAGCCCTAACTCCCAGTGTGGCTGTATTTTGGAGAGGGGTTTCTAAGGAAATAAGGCCAAATGAGGTCATAAGGGTGGGGCCCTGATCTGATAGGATTAGTGCCCTTATAAGAAGACAGACCCCAGAGGTTGCTCCCTCTCTCTCTCTGGAGGCACACACAGAGGAGAGGCCATGTGAGGACACAAGGAGAAGGCGGCTGTCTGCACACCAGGAGGAGAGTCCTCTCCAGAACCCAACCATGGTGGCACCCTGATCTCAAACTTCCAGCCTCCAGAACTGTAAGAAAATTAATTTCTGCTGCTGAAGCCATGCAGTCTGTGGTATTTTGTCATGGCAGCCTGAGCAGATTAAGAAGATTCCCAGATAATCTGCAAAGCACAGTCGAGGGACCCAAGGTCACGGTTTTCTCACTCATGCTCCTAATTTCAGGGCAGAGGTCTCTGATGGACCTGGACACTGAGTCAGCGAAGTGTCCCTTGCTCTTCCTAAGGACACTCTCTGAATTTATGCTCTAAGAACCACGAGGAGAAAGCAGAGATTAACTGGGTACAGGAGTGAGGAAAAGCACAGATTATTCTTAAATCTAAGAGGTGCCATCTAGAAACAAGGAAGAAAGGGTAGCTCCCTGCGGCTGTTCTTGTCGTTTCAGCCAGGGGAAGCACGCATTTCCTTTCCCTCCTCAAGTGGAAACACGTTGAACTCGAGGCATAGGCCCACATCTGGTTTTGACTCACCCACCAGAAGTGGCGGGTGTTAGTCAACGACCTGACAAAACTCAGTAAACCAAAGGCAGGGCAAAGGCTTTGTTTTTAATCTGCCACTGGGGGCCCATACAGGGATGGAAAGAAGCCACCTGGCAGCACCAGAGCTCTTGCCACAGCCCTAAGATTATTCAATTGATTCTTGTCAGGATTAATTTACTAAGCCCAAGCCGGATTTTTTATTTAGATGATATTGTTGGTGTGTTGTCCGCTGCAGATCCACACAGGAGGCGCCCCAGGGGGTGGCACGTGCCTCCGAACAGTGTTAGACTCAAATTGGAAAACTGTCACTTTGGTGGGAACAAATTATTGTCTGAGTCGCTCCACGTAGAGCTGGTGTCTCCAGACAGGTTCCCACCTGACCTTCTCTGAACCAGCGGAGCTGCGTAAAGGCTTCCGTCCCACTCAGAGGCGTCCCTGGGAAAACAGCTCAACTGCTTATGTGCCAAGTGTGAATTAGGAGCCGTGCACTTACCACTAAGTGATCGACTTCCCTACAGAAGCCAGCCATTCTCCTCTGCAGCCAGAAAACCCCGAACAGTGACTCCGTCACGGGCAGAAAACAGGCTTTGGCCCACGCTAGGGGGTCACGCTGCTTGGACTCTGCCACGCTAGTATGAGACTGTGCCTCAGTGTCCCTATCAATGCCATAAGGATGACAATGGCAGTGGCCTCATTTGTTGTGAGGGGAAGATCTCCACATGTGGCAAGCCACTGATCAATGTCACTGTCACTGAT